ATTTTTTGAGATAAAAATAAAAAATATTTGTTAGTAAAATTAAAAACTTTTATATATAAGAAAAATTATGTATTTTATTAATTATAATTAGTAAAAAATTTAAGTGTTATATTATTTTTAATGATCACTATATAATAAAAATCTTAACTAAGAAAGAGAGAGAGTTAGTTTTATAATTACTATATATTATGTAATATATATTTATTTCTTATTTTTAATTATTATTATATATAATTATTATTATATATAATTAATTTAATAAATAAATTTTTGTAACAAATTTAATTTTCTCTTGCAGATTATTACTGCATTATATGCTGCACTACATATAATACTATGTCACAAAAATCATCTCATAAAATCACATGATATACTTAAGCTATTTTAATTATAGATAGTTTTCTTAGTAAAATTTCTTTTTTCTCTTATTTTATTAATTTAACTAGCATATTATTATAATTATATATTTTATTTATAATTATTTATTTTTTTATTTATTTATTAATAATATAAGTATTAACTATTATTAATTTATATTTATTATATTATTAATTTTATGTAATATTAAATTATTATTTAAAGATACTATTTCTGTTCTGTATTTTTAATAACAATCACATAATAAAGAATAAGTTTTTTTAATATAATAATCTTGTCTGTCTTGAATTAATTTTCTGTGTGAATTCTATTTCAATTAATATTACTATATATCTTGAATCTTTTGTATAAATTTTCCTGATATATTATATAACATAACTAGAAAGGTTATAATTTCAATATAAGAAAATTAAAAATAAAAATATTAAAAAATTATAAAAAATAAATATAATTAAATCTTTTTATAATTATATTTTTTATAATTATATTTTTTTTAATTTTCTAATTATTAATTAATTATAATTAAAAATCTCTATAATTATTTAATTTTATTTTTTCATAATTATAAAAAGATTCAATGTATTAGAATTTAATTGAAAATATTATTAAAAAAATATATAATTCAATTTTAAATTTAAATAATAAAAATATTTAATAATTTATATAATAATAATTAAAAATAATATAATACTTAAATTTTTTATTAATTATATTATATATTTTTTATCATATATAAAAGATTTTAATTTTATATTAAATATTTTTATTTTTATTCAAAATAAAGCTAGATTTCTCTATTTTAATATATATTTTTTCAAATTTTTTCTAAGAGAATAATTCTAATTACATATAAGATCAATTAATTATTGATTAATAAAATTAATATATATTAAAATAGAAATTCTAGCTTTATTTTGAGTTAAAAATATTTAATTATAATTAGTAGAAAATTCAAGCAGATTTATATAGCTTAAAAACTTATTATTATTTTTCAAAATCTGCTTCTATTAATTCATAAATTAAATTTAACTCTTCAAATCAATTAAAGAATTAAAATGTTTTAGTTTGATTCTTTTAAAATTAATTATATTTATTGAATATAATTATTATTAAAATAGACTTTTTTTACTATATTTCATTATGCAAAATTCTAATTAGTATAATTTATTTGGGCACAACGTTTTATGGATACAAGATAAGAGCTCCGGAACAGTCTCAAAAATTCGGCTTAGCAGATTCTAAACTTCGTGCTAAGCTGAATATACATAAAATTGAAAAAACTTCAGCTTAGCGCATATTCGGTTTCGTTTGCCTCCATCAATCAGTTCTCAGATTACGCTAGCGCCTATCGTTATAATGTTCACTTTATAAATAAAATATATTGGTTGTTTATTGCCATTTGGCCAGAGTACAATGTAAAAACTCGATTTGCCTCCGTTTTTCAGTAAGAAACTACAATTGATATAGGGGTCTTAAGATAAATAAATATTACCTGGAGGTCTTCTTGAAGGGATGCTAAATGTAGCGAAAGAGATATATACATGTATCAAACGACCCTAATTTTTATACATATATTTGCCGTCCTATGATTCAATGATGCCAGAAAATGTTACCGTTAAAGGATACCCCAAATAATATTAATAATTCCAAGTTTAGTCGCGAGAGTCGATTATCTTAAACTTGGCTACAGAATAAAGTAATGTATATATATATCTAACGAGAAAAATTATCCAATAAGCAATCTCTGTGTGTAATTGTATGAAACTAGAAATCATCAGCAAGATATCTGTCTTCGTCAATATATGAGGTTAACACAGTACGTTCGGCGAATTTTCGACCTGCTAGAGCGCGAAGCGCGACGCCAGTTTCTTCAATACGTTCGTATCGCACAAATATCTGCAATGGATGTGAAAAGAGCAAGACGAAAGATTCGTATACAAAAATAATGCATGTCACACGTAAACGTATAACAATAATAAAAATGGCTGCACAGGGATATATTAGATATATATATATATGTGTATATATATATATATACATGCGTTAGTAATATATACCTTTCCAACGCCTGCCATTAATCCGGTTTGTGTTGGACGAGGAATTTTCATGTCAACTATTTTTCCATATTTCGAGCATTCTTCATGGACATCATCAAAAATGTCTAATAATAGTAAGAAAAACTTATTGTTAGAGATGTAAAGGTAAAAAAAAAATAGATTAAAAAACATGCCTGCATATTCATCATCATCTATTAATTCCTCCGGTGTGACCATATTCAATAGCTGCAAGATTCTAGTAGGTTGCATCTCTCCATTATTTGCGGGAATAAGTAAAGAAGGAGGTAATGAGGTTATAGCCACTCCTGTATTTTTAGTTGAACCAACACTTGCACGCTGTACAACTAATTTACGATCTCCTAATTCCATATTGTTCAATCCTTGACATGCTAAATCAGTTACAGTTGGATCCACGTATTCACAAAAAGCAAAGCCCTAAAAATTAAGAAATAATTATGAATATAAATGCTATCGAAGCAAAATTAAGTTTGAAGGTATTTCAAAAATTTACTTTTGAAACACCGGTTAAACTGTCTTTGACCAAGTTGAAAGCTCTCAATTCTCCAAAAGATTTTAGGAGCTCTATAACTTGCTCGTCGTTTAAATATGTAGGGAGCCCGCCAATAAATATTTTGTGAGGGCTATCAGGAACATTCGTCGACACTACACCAGGCACGTGAATGGGCGGTGGTTCTTGATCATGACCCGGAGGCGCTTGGTAATCTTTAGGACGACGAATTTTCAAAGATTGTCCTTGGAAGGTAATTCCATCGAAGGCCATTGCTGCCGTAGCTTCTTCGGGTGCGCGAAACTACAAATTTTCCTGGTTAACAAAAATAGTCACTAATGTAACTCTAAATAAAACTGATAATACAATACCTCAACAAATGCATAATTTTTATCATGATTTATTTGTACTGCAATAACTGGATCACCCGGTGAAGTTGTAATATTCAGTTGAATCATAGTCGAATTGAAGAATTCAGATAAACCACGCTAAATATGAAAAAAAGCATAAATAAACTGAAAAAATTTAAAAAACAATAATTAAATTAAATAAAATTTACCTCATCAATTCCATAAGGAATATTACCCACATAAAGACGCCTTGCTTGCCTTGCAAGTGAAGCTGTTTGTGCCACAGGACCAGCTGCACCTTGGCTAACTTTGGGTCTTGGCGGTAGCTCATGAGTCATTCCCATCATCAAAGCAGCACGATTCGGATCCATTCCGGGAATATGGATTAATGGCGTTTCTGGGGCACTTGGGGGTTTTATCGTTGCACCTACAGCAGCTTGACCTGGTAAAGGGAAGTGGCCTACAAAATAAAAATAAATTAATAAAGGGATATATGACCATTTAATTATTAGCGTTTGAATGTAACAATTATCACCTGTCGCTTTAACTTGTTCAGACGTCATTCCTTCATAACCTGGAGGAGGTACATCCCAATTGTTTAATTTCCTAGGACGTTTATTTATTGGAGTTACTGAACGAGAACGTGAACGATATCTTGCGCTTGGACTATATCTTCTTGGAGAAAGACTACGACTTTTTCTTCTCGAACGACGTGATTTTCGACTTTCTCTATCACGATCATCCCTATCGTCTCGAGCTCGACGATGATCACGACTTTGCTCTCGACTTTTCCCTCGATCTCTTTCAGATTCTTTACGCCTACTACTTCTATCAACATCACGATCTCTTTCCTTCTCTCGTTCTCTTTCTCTCTCCCTCTCCTTGTCCCTTTTTCTTTCGTGACGATCACGATACTCATCCTCTCGATGACGTCGATCAGGTGAACGATCACGAAAATAAGAAGACGGTTCAATTTTAATATCTTTCATGGCGACATCTTGATTGCTGCTACTGCTATTATTGAAGTTCTCTGGGTAATAAGGAACTTCGGCTGCAAAGTGCCAAGAAGACCGTATTTACAATCGATTATGCGAAAATAGAAGGATAAAAAAAGAAGAAAAATTGATCGATGTTTTATTAGTATGTCCTGCAAGAGAGATTATCAGTAGTAATAGTAGCTTAGAAAAGCCATTCATTGTCCTTGGATGATGATAATTATTCATAGAGATCGGTTAAGCTGTGCTGAAAATTTTTAACAAGAAAAGAATAATTTGGAGAGAATGTATAATATAACACGAAAATTATTATCATTTTTTTTTGTTATTTTATAATAGTAGTAGAGTAGTAACACAATGAGATGAATAGCTGATAAGGTCGATGATGCTAAGCTGCAATATTTTTAGAAACAAAAATACAAACAGTTTGGTTTCTAGAGGTTTGTAATTAAAAAAAATAAAAAGAGGGACTTGCAAAAAACAAAGTAATTAAGTTTCGTAAGATTAACCACCTGTACTTGAAGGTCCCATAGCACTAGAGGAGGTACCAGCAACATTCTGCTGAGAGTAGTCATATGGAATATAATCATTCTTTTCGCGCCAGTAAATGTCTAAGTTTCCGGGATTTTGCATGTTCTGGTGTGTTCCTGAAAAAAGCAAAAAATCATAAATTTGATATTACCCAGAGTAAAATTGTTTTTTGTTTATTTGACACGTTATCTTATGAACCATATGTATGTCACATGAATTTCTAATTATCGACAAAGTAACCTCACAAGATGAAAATTAAGATATATCTACAAGGTAAGTAAACATTAAAAATGGTCCAATTCTCTCAAAACCACAAAAAAGCCCATCCCGCACACATTAACAACCCGCCTATTGGCACAGTAGGGGCCAAAATTCGAGAAACTCTTGCTTTAACCGACAACGTCTTCAAATATAAGACTCCTGAGAACATTGTAGTTCCGATGGTCATTAAAGTTCCAGCCAGTAATGGAGATTGGTTGGTGGCCGGGTGATGTGCGTTAGAAAGATAGAGAATAGCAAGGGCGTGAAGTAATTGGTAATTCGTAGCTGTTTGCCAATTCTGGGAATACAAGTTGTGAGGAAAGGATATTTTTTTTAATTAAAAAAAAGCGAATTTTAGATGATAGAAGAATTTTACTTTTATCCATGCTGGATCGCTAACAGTGTTCTTTAAAGCATGGGCTCCTATGAATTTGCGGGAAATTATTTTTCAGTATTTTGCATTTCATCAACTAATTTAAAAAAGAAAAAAAATCTGACCATAAGTTGCAAGTAAAATCCCAGTAGAACCTAAAAGGATCATAAATAATGCGTTCCCAAAATGTACATATAAATTTCAATGCACACACGCCTTTTTACTTACCCAATGTCGCACCGGCCCTCCATAAAGACAACGGAGAAAATACTGTTGGTATCATCATCAAAAATGAAGTAATGTTTTTTTTTAGTCCTGACACATGATTTAAATTGGTATTACCCGATTCGGTCGATTCAGTTAATTAACCCCTCAAATATGGACATTAATAACTGATTTTTCATCGTTATATAAATCCCCCAAGGAATGATTGATCAATCAATTTTAAAGGTCTCAATTTTTGTAATTGTTATTTCGATTATATTTAAACTTTTTAATTTCTATCAATTAGCTTATCCTCCTCCTTATTCAACTTTTTCCGACTCTACGAAAAAAATGCCTCAATCTGATGCAACCATTATCGTGACATCTTTTTATGATCTCGAAGCACTTGATAAAAATCAACAAGTATTCAAGTTTTCAGAACTGAAAGGAAAAGTGGCGTTAATTGTTAATACGGCATCCAAATGCGGATTCACACCACAATTCGCTGGTCTTGAGAAGTTATATCAAAAGTATAAGAATGATGGATTGGTGATTATGGGATTTCCAAGTGGTCAATTCAATCAAGAATTAAATAACCAAGAAGGTTGTTATCATAAATTTTTTTTTAAATCTTATATATAAATTATCTCATGTTCTTATTTCTATCGATATAGCAATCTCTGAATTTTGCCAAGTAAACTATGGTGTCACATTTCCAATCATGGCTAAAGTCGAGGTAAACGGTGATAATGCCTCCCCCGTTTACAATTATCTTAAAAGTCAGAAGGCAGGGTTATTTGGACTTCGACGTATCAAATGGAATTTCGAGAAATTTCTGATAGATCGTAATGGTAAAGTTGTGCAGCGATATGGAAGTATTGCTAAGGTAAATTTAATAACATTCTAATATATTCGCTGAGAAAAAAGAATTGCTACTAATCCTTGTATTATATAAAATAGCCCGGCGAAATTGAAAAAGATATCGAACCACTCATTAATCAATCCGCATTATAATCTTAGCTATTATTATTATCATCATTATTGTATAAAAATTCTCGTGACGCCTAGAATAATAAAGTTCTTGTTACACGTACACGCACCAATACACGACATCTTACTTTGCACATTTAGCTCATAACCCAAACTCCCGTACATTTGCTTTGCCTTTTTTTTTTAATAAATAGGCGAAACGACGATAAAAAAAGTGTTAAATGATTATCGAAAAATTAATTTATTCCAAACATGTTAAATATCAAAATTATTTATCAATCGAAAGCACGTAGATTCACAATTCAAGACACTGAAAAAATTACATGGTCAGAATTCGAGAAACGTACTCGTGATTTATTCAAACTACCCTCTTGGACTCCATTCACTCTCTCGTATACTGATGAAGAAGGAGATAATATCACCTTATCTACGGATTTTGAACTTGAACAAGTCTTTAGCGAACATATTCGCAATAATTATAATAAAAAAAAGAATACTTTGAAATTTAATGTAATTGTAAAGACAATTGACAATAATAACAATAATAACGAGGATAATCATAATAATAATCAGATAAACAATGCGGTATCATCTGTATCAAATACAAGCTTGATATCGGATACTTTTGGGATCGATGAGATTCCTTCGTTCGCGCGTAATAAAAATGGCGTCTCTTCGTTTACACGTAATAAGAAGAAAGATATTGTAGTATTTGACAAAGAGGAGGAAGGAGATGAATTTGTCAATATTGAACCTACTTTTCATCCTACAATTTATACAACTCCGATTGACACTGAACAAAAAGAAAAAGAACCTATTAAAGAACTTATTAGCAAAAATAATGCTATTATAGAAGAAGAATCAAATATGGAAAAAAGATCCAAGGATAATGACAAATTTGAACAACTGTCTCCATTACCATCACATGATCAACAAACATCTCTTGCAGAAGAATTTCAAAGTCTGTTGGATCAAAATCAACTTTATTTATTAAATAATCCACAATTGGTTGAAAAAGTTAATATAATAAGGGACAAACTTCTTCAAAATCAAGAAGTTGATATAGATTTCTGGCGACAATGGTTAAATTCCTTGAATAAAAAGGGAAGTAATAATAATAATAATAATAATAATAATAAAAACAACAATAATAATGATAATGACAACAATAATGACGACAATAAAAATAACAATAACAATAACAATAATAACAATAACAATAATAACAATAACAATAACAACAACAACAACAACGACAACAATAATAATAATAATGATACTCAAGAAATAAAATCAGCCGACCAAAGACAACAAGTTCCGATATTAACGCAACAATTTAATCGTACTTGGATGCAATATCGATCACCTCGTGGAAACAGTAATTATTGTGGTCGTCCTCAAGCTGGCTCTATTTTGTCATCTCGTTGGCGAAATCACAATGCCGATAATGATAAAGGAAGCGGATCAGGATCAGGAGGAGCAAGTAGAGGTAATAATAACAACAATAATAATTATACATATAATGGATATCCTGGTAAAGTATATCAAGAGCAAGCGTACGGACTTTCACCAAATGAAATGAATTCAAAATTAGAGGCATTACATGCGATGGGATTCGGAAATGATCTACAGAATAAAGAGCTGTTGTATATGTATAACGGAAATGTAGAATCGGTGGTTGAAGAAATACTTGTGAAATCTAAACGCACAGAACAATATAAGTAAACATCAAATCGTGTATTGGGAAAGATTCTGTATTGTATTATTATTAATATTAATAAACATATAGAAATTAGAATTTTTTGTGTTATAAAAATTAATAAAGATAAAAAATACTTGAAAACTAAGTTACCTGAAAAAACCACGTGAAATGTTCGGAACTTGATATTTAAGAGGTAATCAATCAAATCGCAAGATCAATGTGTAACAAATGTTTATTTATAGAACAACGGTTTTTCTTTTATATTTTCCGAGCACGTGCTTTTTAAGGGTAAGCCAACCAATCAAATCGCAAGATATGAAATCATTAATGATTGGTAAAATATTTTTAAAGAGAGAGGTCGGTTCAACTATTCCGTTACTCCTTAAAAAATCACGTGCTCAGAAAATATTTTTACATTTCTTTATTACATATCCATATAAGTAATCACAATAAACTTTTAGTATTCACTTACATGTCATTTTTCAAGATTTTTCGCAAAAATTCTTCGCGCTCTTTCGTATATATCGAACGTGATAAAATGGAAAGTCCAGAAATCGAGTCTATTGTGCCTCTACTTGGAATAATTCATGAAAAGCCGGATCCTCCAGCTACGCCTGTTACCATTGCTGTTGTTGGCGCCGGCCAAAGGTTTTTATCTTTCTAACCATTATAATAGTTCGGCTAAAATCTAAACACTATATATTATACGAATAGAGGTAAAGGATATGCTTACTATTCTATGGAGAATCCTGAATGGCTTAAGATAGTTGCGGTGGCCGAGCCAAATGATTTTAAAAGAGAGAATATGAAAAAGGTTGGTTTTCTTATTAAAGTTTATAAACTTGTTTTATTGTTTTTTAATTAAAGATTTCGTGAATGTTTAGCAATATTCGATTCCAGACAAGAATGTATTTAATGACTGGTGTGATGTAAGTTTCTTTATAATTGTTTGTAATTTATTTAGTAATCTGAAAATGGTATTTAATGGGTATAATTATTTTAGTTAGCTAGCCGTCCTAAACTATGTGATGCGGTGATAATTTCTACTTTGGATAATTTACATACAGAACCAGCAATAGCTTTTGCTAATCTTGGTTATCATGTTCTATTGGAAAAACCAATGGCTGTCACACTTGAAGATTGTCGCTTAATTACCGAAGCCGCTATTCAAAATGAAGTAATATTGCAGAATTTAAATAACATTAATATTTTGATTTTTTGTGCATTATATCCAGGATTTTCGATTTCTAATTTCAATAAAATTTTTGATAGATTATCTTTGCTGTGTGTAAGTAAATCAAACAAAGGCTTTTTAACGAACTATTTTCATTGTGAATTAGAACCTAAACCCAATTGTAAGGATATTTAGGTCACGTGCTTCGATATACACCTCATAATAGGCTTATTAAACTCATCATCGATTCTGGTATCCTTGGTGATATTGTGAATATTCAACACATGGAACCTGTAGGATTCTGGCATTTTGCGCATTCGGTAAGAGGTCTTGGATATTGAAATTATTGGGACAGTTAAATAATTTCTCATAAATTTATGCAGTATGTTCGCGGTAATTGGAGAAACGAAAAAGAAGCATCCTTTTCTTTGATGGCAAAGGTAATGTGACTAACTATATTCTTGTGAATCTTAACGAAGAATGGTATTATTAAGATCCCGCCGTTTCATTTTTTAATAATAGTGCTGTCATGATCTAGGTAAATTTTCTAGGGATCATTGTGAAGTCACGTGAACTACAAGGTTCTAGATCATGTGATTTTTAAAGTTAAACCAATTAAATCTTTTTTATCATGTGATTTCACGAAAGTTAAAGAAATTATTATCTAATGAATTTTTGAAAATTTAACAAAGATCTTTTGGCGCATTGGATTGACTCTCCTTGTATTGTAAGTGTAACAACTCCTTTCTGTTTTTGTTGTTGTTAAATAATATCTTTAATTCGTCTAGAGTGTAAGCTCTTTTGGAAACTTAAGACATTTCCGTGCAAGCAACAAGCCTAAAGATGCTGGTGATGCAAAGTAATATCATTTGATGAAATAAAATGCAGATTTTTAATCTGTTATATCTGTTGTTAATTAACGGTTTTTAACTTAAGACGATGTTTAGATTGTGCAGCAGAACCTTCTTGTCCTTATTCAGCTAAAAGAATTTATCTTGATCGCGCGAAACGGGGGTCTCGTGGGTGGCCTGTAAGTGTGATAACAGATATTGAAGGTACTTAATTAACCTTTGAACAATAAATTTGATTCAACTTTGGATATACTTTTTTACATTTGATTTCATTTCTATAGATATTGAAAATGTCACCAAAGCTTTGGAAAATGGTCCGTATGGTCGTTGTGTGTATGAATGTGACAATGATGTAGTGGATAATCAAGTAAATATTTTCTGATGAAATACTTTTTTGATCCTAAAATTTTTGTATTTATATGCGTTTTTCTCAACTGATTGAAAAGATTGTAAATATGGAATTTGAAAATGGTACAACAGCTTCTTGCACTATGATAGCGTTTACTGAATCCATTTGTGCTAGAAAGGTTTGTTACGTATTTATATCATATAAACAGGAATATTTTGCATTCTTTTTTAAACAATATTTATTATTAATTTACAGACAAGGTAGATATATGTATTAGCAAATGTTTATTGAACTGTTAATTTTTCTCATATAATTTCATGGCTTCGTTTTCTGGTTGTTTTCCTGAAAGAATTTTTGGGACACTGGGCGAACTCGAATGCGATGGTATGAATGAAATACGGTATTACGATTTCTTAAAGAATCGTCGTGAAACCTTAACGCCAGCTCAACTTCTTAAAGTACTTGATTTACGAGGTCACGGTGAGTTTGCTTTGCGATAATATATGCAATTTAGATTAAGAAATTAATTAGAATATCTTCTTAATTGAGATTAGGCGGCGGTGACTTTGGATTGGTAGAATCGTTCGTTCGCGAGATAGCATTAGCTGGTCAACGGGTGGATAAAGCGAACTATTTAAAAACTGGACCATTAGAAACTTTCAGTTTGTATTATAGAGGCTTGTTGATTGAATTTTTCTAAATAAAAATTAATTGATTTGCTATGTATATATGTAGATTCTCATCTTTATGTATTTGCCGCGGAACATGCTCGTAAAACCGGAAAAGTTGTAAATATTCAAGAGTTTAAGCGTGAATTCGGAGTTAAAGATTTTTCTTAATGAGAGTTGGATATTTCACCGGAACTCTCTTGAATTTCTATTTTAGTTTTTAATTTATTAATAGAGCTTTAAAATTCTTGTAAATTCTTTTCAATTGAAATATATTGAATTATATTTGCAATGAAATTTAGAAATATATCCAGCTTTAACAACTATCTTTTCTAATATTGATTTTTGTTCACAAAAGTCAGATTATTGTGACAAAATTTGTTATGCATAATAGTTTGGTCTTTCTGAATTATTATTATTTTTTCAAAATATTATTTATATATCAAGTAAACTCTTTCTATAATTATAATTTATACTTATAAAGTATGATATATCACACTTAGTCACATTAAATAACTATCATTACTGAAAATTTGACATACAAGTATTATATAATATAATACCAGTTAGAAAGTAATTACGATATTATTGTGATAATATACACATGATCAAGATTTACTTAGCATGTGATAAAATACATGTATATATGAAATAATATATAAAATTTTATTTAGTATTATTATTTTAAGTTTATACATATATAAATATTTTAAAATAGTAAGAGTGACTATATTCACAGCAATTATTTACTTTTATAGTTTCAAGAGATTATATAATTAATTATCTTCTCAATAAGACAATATATACAAGATTTACTTTTGATAAAATATGATTATCTTCTCAATAAGATAATTTATACATATTTTATTTCTAACAAAATGCTCTCTCAATAGAGCAAGAAGAAAATAAGATATATGATAAAATATAAGTATTTATTAAAGAAAAATACTAATTAATTACTCTTAACTCAGTAACTAATTATTTTTACTAAACTTTGTTATTCTTCTTAATTACTTCTTGACTTTCTATATATAATATTTTCTTGCTATGCTAATTATAAATTATTTTTAATATAATATTTCACTTAATTTACTCAAGAATAAGTAGAATTTCAAAAGAATGATCATAAAAAATATTAAATACATGATAATTAAGAATTTAAATTAATAAGCTATTAAGTTATTTAAAACTAAAGTAAAAAAAGAAAGAAAATTAATAATAATTAATTAAATAATTATTAACTTAATAAAATTATAAATTAAGTATAACACACATAGCTAAGATTCCAAATGATTCAATTCAAACTGAATCCTAAATAATTTAATTCAGTTTGATTTCAGTTTAATTCTTAATTTTTAGAAGAATTAAATCATTATAATTTAATTCAATTCTGATTATTAGTAGTTATGAAATTAAATTAAATTAAATTGATGATTTATTATATAATCTGATATAATTTTTCTGTCAAGTTATTTTTTTCCTGAATAGATAGATTTTTTTCACTCATTTTTCATTAATGAATAACTAATTAAATTTAGAAGAGAATAGTAATATCCTATATAGTGCTTCTAGTATGACAGTATCTGATAAAAATAAGAAGATAAGGAATGTTATTTGGATATACTTTAATTAGAATTGCATAAAAAACAAGACAAAGTACAACTATTATGAGTAAGTGGATTAGTGACAAGTTTAGTAGTATATTTAATATTAAAAAGAGAAAAAAAGAAACTTAAGAAAATATAACATATTTAATATTAAAAAGAGAAGAAGAAAACTTAAGAAATTTTTATTTATATGTGATACATTTAGTAAGAGAAGACTTAATAAAATTTTATTTTAATAGAAATCATAATATATGTATTGATGATAGTATTTTAAATCTCTATAAGCATCTAAAAAACTAATATTTGACCAAAATCTCTAAATCAGAAGACTCTGAAATAATTAATAAATGATTAAAAAAAGGAGTATTACTTCCAGTAATTAATATTTATCATTTTTATTTGATTTAATATTTACTAATTCTTAATTTAAAATAGCTATTTTTATTCAAAGTATTTTAAGTCTTTCTTTTTTGCTAGATTATATATTTTGATCAGTCTTTTTTCAAAGTTAAGAGTTCAAATTTATATTAAATCTCAAAATAGATATTGTAACTAATCATCTATTCATATAGTGCAGCTGTAGCATATAGTATAGTAATTATTGATCATTACTAAATTGGGTGAATAAGTAATTTTATTAATTAATCTTATTTATAATTAATTCTATTTTTAATCTATATTATTACTCATATTTA